TATGTAAGGGTAAACTGAGTAAGAGTATGTAGGAGTAAACTGACTATAAATAGTAAAATTGCACAGATATTGTTCACAGTTTGAAAAAACTAAGTGTGATGTGATTACTTCAAATTAGAATTAATATTTTTATCCTTTCCTACTTGCCAAGACAAGTATTTATTTTGCAAACTAAAAGAAAAGGAAGTCCACAGGGAATGACTAACTGAATGTGTGGTTTTTGCTTCACATTGGTTAGAGAGGCATACATTTTGGGGTGTTCTTTCTTATGTTTACCTCTTTCAAGAAAATCAATAAGAGCCATGTGAAAATATCTAAATGAACCCAGGGGAAACAGTGTCAGAAATCAATGCTTCTCTCCCATAATCTTTAACCTGCTTAAATGAAGTGTTCATCACAGAAATAAGATACCGTATTACATTTAAAACTAATGAAACTAGAATACGCAAAGCGCATGACACTATAATTAAACAGCTGGAAGACATCCAAGCCTGTGTAAGTTGATAACCCTAGTACAATCTCTGGCAGGGAAAAGGCAAGTCTGCAGTGAGTTGATATGGCCAGCTCAGTTGTTAATTGAATAACAGGCAATCTATAAACACCACTAATTGCACATGTGAAAACCTGTGTACAAGTAGAGATGTGGCACAGAGAAGCACTCCAGAAAGACTACGTGGATAAAGCACTCGGCAAATCTTCTGTCTCTCTCAATCGAGTTAAGTCATAGCTTAGTTTCACCACTGCATCCTTCTGATTAACCTCTATACAGCAGACTTAATGACACATTTTTCAAAAGATCATTTTTCTTCCTAACTCAATATGAACTGCAGAACTATCAATTACCCATTTCAGAAAAGAAAACAAGTAATCTAGAAAATTCAGCCTGTGAATGGAAAGCTTTCTAAATTGTAAAAGAAGACATGGTCTTATTCCCAACAGGCAAAATGCTTTTCAGAATTGTTCCAACGCATTTTGCAGAAGTGTGGCAGCTGCTGTGAACAGCATGGAGTGTTAAGATTTGACACTTTTTTTTTTCTCTTAAGGATATAGCCACTTGGGGAGGCTCAGAAGCTGTTGTCAGAATTATACTTATCCATTTAATAAATCCTTTTACAATGATTATTTCAACCCAGGTTGAATGAGAAACATTTCAAAACTACTGCTCTAGGACCTAAACCAAACTTTTTAAATTTTTTTAGTCTGTGGAGAAAATTGGTTGACCCAGGAGATTAGTTATAAGATACAAAACCTCCCATAGTTTAACATTCAATTCCAAATAAAGCCAGGGGAGAGGAAAGGTCACTGTCATTCTAGAGGTGTCTAGCAGCTTCCATGAAATGAACTGATAGATTCACTCTCTAGTGGATCACATCATGGCATCCAGAATTACTAATCCGAGTACTGTGCAGTATTTAGAAGGATGTATCACAGACTGACTTACACTCAAATGCAACTAGCTATGGGCCTCAGTTTCTTCAACAAATGTGGGAAAAATAAACTTGTTATATGGAATCAAATGGATAATATAGACAACATGCTTGCAGCAGAGTGTCTAGTATAAAAAGTGCTGAACGGCAGTTTTAAAAATAAGGCATACGAATGTAAACATTAAAATATGTGTGGTAACAGCATATACTCAAATGACTGAATGGTGCCTGAAGCTGAATTTCTCTCACACCTTTCATTAGTACAGAAGAGAATATTGGGTTTCAATAAAACTGCTTGGGAAAAAATACAAACAGGAATATCCTCACTTTTAAGATACAGAATACTTTTGCCCATATTTTATCAAGCTCCAGGGTAACTCCTCAAATATGAGAATGTAGTCAACTAGAAATTAAAATGGAAACAAACTATAAAGAATCACTGTTAATTAATAATTTTTAAAAGTGTAAGTAGGAAAGGTGTGATAGATGGTGCAGAGATGGAAATATATGAAGTCTATGACAGAGCTATCATCTCTGCTTTTATCCTGGATATCTGCTCCTTGGAAGATTCTTACTCTCAAGATGCCCCCTGGCCATGAGGAGAAAGGGCTGATCTGTAATGTTTGGGTATCAACTTCAACCACTTCTACCAAACATCAGAATTAACAATAACTTCATCAGTTTCATCAATTCCCTAACAACCAAAAGGTACGCTAATTGAAAAAGCTTTCATGGGTCAATCAGGTACTGCCAAGTCTTCCTTATAGTTATAGGCAGAATAAAAGTAATCCAGTGTCTGTTACAGCCAAGGGAATTATTGCTCTCATACAGATCCCAACATGGGCACAGAAGCCTCCTGGAACCCATACCTGCTTCCAGAAACATCCAGCCTCTCAGCACTGTAAGTGGTTAGAGTTTCCATCCTTGCTGCATTTGAACTCCAAAATTTTGGGAATTCTCAACATAAAGCTCTCTGCTCTTGAATTCATTTTGTGTGTTGCTCCAACGATTTTAAAAGGAAAAATAAAGTATCAAACTAAAACTGCAATGAATCTTTGAGTATTTTAATATGTAGTATTTAATAACAGTATATGCCCAGTTACTTGGGAGGCTGAGAAAGGAGGATGGTGAATGCAAGGCAAGCCTGGGAAACACAGAGAAACATCGTTAATAAAAAAAGAAAGAAACAAAGAAACAAAAAGCTCAAAGAATGTAATAATTATGTACTGCAAAAATATACTAATAAAAATAAAATTAAAAAGCTATGTAGACTTCAATTATACTTATTCAGTACATTTATAGTATTGTTGTAGATATCCAAAAAGACTACTGAGAGTGAGATGATATCCGTTTTATTTTTTAGATTAGATACCAGAAAAGTAAACAATATGGATTAATCAATTAAACTAAGAGAGTAACTTGAACCATTTCTCAAAGCAGTCTTGTTTGTAAATATATGATCACAAAATGAAAAAAAAAATCTTTAAGGAAAAAGGATTCATAGCTGCTTGTGAGTTACATCCAGACTAAAATAGTGTTTGTGTGTGTCCTTCATTGAAATCAATATCATAAGGCTGCTGACAGACGAAGGCTGCTTTTCAGAATCTAAAACTTGTCCACTTTTAGATTTTCTAACTGCTAGCAGTATACAAAACCTTGAAAGTGCCCATAACTAACATTTTAACTCAAAACAATCATGAATAGCACACCAGTTAGATAATGAACTTTGTAGATAAAGAAAGAATCATTACTCTCAAGGAGCTCCAAGTGAGAGTACATCTTAGACTATTACCTAGAATACGCAATGTCATGATATAATGGGAGTGTGAGGAATACAAATGACAGGTGGTTTATGAAGTCTAAAAATTTCTGAAGTATAAATATTTTGTCAAAATGAGTACTGCCACAAAGGGCATCCAGATCAAGGAGGCTTCAGCAAAAACAAGGCATGAATTTTTAAAAGTATATGGCTTGATTTGGAAATGATAATAGAATAAACAGACCATAAAATATGTGGAGAGGGAGTAAATATAAACCTTCAAAGACAGTTATGAAAAACCTTATGTTCAATCCAAGAGTGTCACAATTTTCCTAAAGTAAGTGAGGGGACACCCCAGAAACATTTTTGTGCAAGAGAGTGATGAGGGGCACTGAGTTTCAGAAAGTGAGTTCTGATGCCAAGCTGGATGAGGTATGGATAGAAACCTGGCACTGAGAGGCAATTAGGAGGTAGATAAAACTGTCCGAGTAAGAAATGATGTGAGTGTGAACCAGGGCACTGAAGTGAAAAGTGATCTGTAAGGATTTTGAAGTGGGTATAGATAGGAATTAAACTGATATGAAAACAAGAGACCACCAAAGAAAAGCTTTCATTTTTAGATTGGATGACTTGGTAGCTGTTGAGGCTGGTAACTAAGACAGGAAATACAGAAGGATAATGTTGGGAAACTTCTGGGATTACCCTGCTTAAAAATTTCATTATACAAGTTCAATGGGAAAAAATGCTATATCATCCAAGTTAAAATACGCAAATATGATTTGGGTAGAAGTAAATTCAGCTTCACTGTGCTTTCCACATGGCAACGCACTGCCAGGTAACTTGTTCACCACATTTTAACAGTATCAACATGTAGGTAGTGGGGCCTTTAAGAGGTGGGGCCTCATGGAAGATGATTATATTTGACCTCCCTCATGATTAATGCTAGTCTCACAGAGTGACTTAGGTCTCCCAATCCAGAGATCAAGCTGTCATTAAGCAGCAAGCCTAGCCTGTGCCCAGTCTCTTGCTCCATCCTTTCCTTCTCCCTCTCCCATTTTCTTATACAAACTTCCACCATGTAATGCTACTTCCCATGTTGGGTGTAGCCAGGAGTTCCTCATCAGAGACCAAATAGATGGGGCTGCCTGATCTTAGATCATCTGCCTCTAAAACTGTGAGCTGAGAAAACCTCTATTCTTTATAAAAGCTCCCAGTCTTACAAACTGTGCTAAGATACAGAGCATTAAACCTCTTAGACCATATACCTCTGTGTTCTCATTTCTTTGCATAATCATTTCTTATGGATATCCTATATCTGTAAACCAGACCTCTTCAAACTACAAAGCCAAACAGTGATGCAAGCATTTCCCATTCCTCTGGTAGAGAAAGCTGTGTGTGACACTTCAGTCTTGCCATTAGCATGATCAGAAATGGCTTGTGTGAGTTTCTTGTGGATGCAGAAAGTACAGAAGAAAATGTAGTTTCTTTGCATTGTGTTGTAATTTTGTCTGCATAAATCTAGAAGTGGGTAGCACAAAATAGTGATAACAGGCCAGTTGTGAAGATGAATCAGACTAGAGACAAGGTGATTCCAGTAAGAGCTGGAAAAGCTTGGAGGATACCAGAAAGGAGAACAAATATGAAAATGATCAAAGTATATTATGTGTGTGTACAAATCTGCCAAAATTAAATCCATGTTTAGCCAGTAAAAGCTGTATAACCAGTGAAAGTAAAGATTAGCAAATAGAAAAAAAAATAAGTAAAAATTTTACCAAACAATGGAGGGGACAAGGTTAAAGGAATATTTATATTACCTTCAACATCACAGCTCAAGTAGTTACGCACTTCATTCAAAATGAAGTTGATATCTTCTTCTGAAGGAATAGGGTGATGTGTAATGTCAGTTGGAGAATCAGTAGTGCCAGCAATAGTCATCTTTTGCCAGGGTAAGAAAAAAATAACTCGCCCATCACTGGTGGCTGGGTCAAGCAGTCCCATGCTCTCGGGGCTAAGGTAAAGAGAAATTTAGTTCTGAAATTATCAAAGTTTAATATTAATCTTCACTCTACAAAACTATTTTATTCACTAATGCTCAAATAAGCAAACAAAAAAAACAAACTACTACTTTACTGCCCCTACCCTAATTCAGAAATTCCTGAAAGAAAAAATTATTTTTGGCCAAAAAATGCTACTGTACAAATGTGATAATAATACTATTCTGCAGCAGAATTACTCTCCCCACCTCAACAATTGAAAGTTAATTAACTCCCAATTGTTTTGGTTTTTATATTCTTTGGACCATTCACATCAGATAATGTCAGGGGGAACAAATGCCTTCTTTTATTGTGGTCTCGGAAAGATAGCCCTTCAACCTCTTTTCAAGTCTATGAAAAGTATTTTCCTGGACATTTGACATTTGGCACATCTTTCTGTAGAAGGCCCCAGAAGTACATGAGAAAGTAGAGTTTAACTTTCTAGAAACTAAAATGCAATCATAAAGTCTTCACTCCTTTGTGCTAAGATGAACTTGTGCCACTTCACCAAATATGAGATTTCTTACCTTATTTCAAGGTTACAGAAATCTCAAGAAGTGCATGCAGAAAAAAAAAGAGCTGAGGTTTTCACTACTGCCTGAATAACAATGTCCTAGAACATTTCAAAGTGAAAGGAACACTTTAGCAATGAAAATATTTTAAATAGAAAATAGTAGTGTATTCTGCTATTAAATGAAGGTGTAAGCTGCCTATTCTGACAGTTATGTAAAAATCTTCCAAAGTATTAGCCAAGCATTTTTGCTGACACAATGTGAATAATAATAAAAACCAAAGTATAAAACACATTTGAAAGAATAGGCAATTGTACATAAACATGAACAAAAGCTGTCATATTTATTACTAGAAATTGTTGTTTTAATGCAGTCATTAGATACTCAAAGAAATGTGGAGATGTTAAAGGGATAGGAGGAATTCAAAAGTATCATATTTAATCAAATAGAGCACAACAAATCAGAGAGCTGTTTGAATTTGAATTCACATATAAATGCCAACTGAAAGTACTTTGTATAATATTTTAGCTTCTATTAATACAATTTCTCAAATAGAAAACACATTCTATTTGGTTTGACCAAATTTCAAGAAATCCCTCTTACACACACAAATTTGAAAAGGCATAAGACAGGTGTTAGGCATGGCAGTGCATGCCTATAATCACAGTATTTGGGAGGCTCAGGCAGGAGAATTGTGAATTCAAGGCCAGCCTGGGTTATAGAGCAAGTTCAAGCCCAGACTGGACTACCTAGCAAGATCTAGTCTACAAAAACCCAAATCAGTAAATAAATACATAATAAAAGGTCATACAGTCAACTTTTTATGATTTCTATTCCCTTAAAATTTTTTAAAGATGTATTCAAATGTGTAAGGATGAGAGGTTCACAACTTTTTAAAACCAAACCCAAAGTATCTTTATGTAAAAAAGAAAACTACAGTCAGCTTACCTAATGCATTGCCTTTATTTAAATCACAAGGAATACTACATAGTCTTTCTCTACAAGGAACCATCAGCCCCATGTGCCTGTCATGTTCTCTCAGCCTTTGCAGAAAGAAATCACAGCCTGTTCCCTACTAGAGACAAAGGAGAGAGCGCACAGCACTTGCAAACCTAAAAAAGCACCACAGAAACATGCCAACCACCCAGGCCTGCAGCAGAGATGCCAACCTTCACTGGGGTTATTTAGAAGAAATTACTTCTACTCTAATAATCTGGAAACTAGAAAGATTATTTTTGGTCTCTAAATATGACAGTAATCTTTTTTCTCCGTATTTGTCACAAAACTGTAAAAGTCTTAAAGTAGTTAATCAGTTAATCTTAAATTTTATGGTTGATTGGTTGGTTGGTTTTTGCAGTGCTAGGGACTGAACACACAGGCACTCTACCACTCAGCTACATCCCCAGCTGTCTGTATTTTTTTAAACAGTCTCACTAAGTAGCCCTGTACGGGCTCAAACTTGCAGTCTTCCTTCCTCAGGCTGCCTCCATGCTGGATTTGTGGGTATGCACCAACACACCCGGCTGTAAGTACATTTTTATTCCAGAATGATATGTCCTTAGATTAAATCAGTCACATTAGAATTGGAAATTAATGCATTCAGAGTTCGAGCATTCAATCTGATACACAGTATTTTACTGAAACAAAATTCCATAACCTACCATTTGAGAAATTGTATGCTGACACACTTTATATACAACTATTCTCATGGACCAAATACATACTCCTTAAATAATAAATCTGATAACATAAGCATCAAATTATAATATTCAGCAACCTAGGTAGGAAATATAGTTAGAAATGCACACCTAGTAAATCCTTTTAAAACTTGCAATGCAATAAAAGCAGTTTTAAAGGGTGAAGGTGATGGTTACCAACACACATATAACTGGAGTCTGTACAGAATCAATTGCTTAAGTGAAGACATATGCATCAAGCATAAAATTAACAAGCACAGAGGGAAGACAAAGCTATTAATGAATAGTACAAAATTTTTAAGAATTCACTTGGAAATATCTTTCATCAGTTCTAAATCATCTAATTCATGCTCTCCCTTAAGGAAGAGTTTGTTTTCTTATGAAGAATACAATCTGCAAGGTCACACCAAAGTATGACAATGGATATCAACTACAGTGATGGCTCGCACAATGCAATGCAGCGCAGGTCTCTTCAATCCAAATGATTCATGTGACATTGGGAAGAAACGCTTGCTAATTTATGTGTGTGTCTAGGATTAAAGGTAATGAGCTTTTTTCTCATGCAGACCATTGCTTTCCTGAAGTACCCTTAGTTAAACTGAAATCAATTTATTGTTAACTACTTAGCAATCAGCATTAGAGCTAACTGTATGTACACATGTTATAGAAAAAAAAATGACCTCTCGTCAGTAGTAAAAAGCATCAGTACACTAGATAGGGCAGGTGATTATTTTCATGTATTTCAGTCAGTTGATATATTATGGCTGCTTTAGCATCTAGCCACAACTCTGATGGAAATTCTAGATTTGTTCTTAATATACACCAAAGAGTGACTTTAGAAAATAATTTGTTTGTTGGGTTTCCTGACATTAAAACAAGTCTTGCCTTAACAAAATAGACATTTGTTCAAGTCAAAAACCAAAAAAAACAAAACAAAAACAAAAACAACAACAACAACAACAAAAAACTTTTTTGTAAGGAATTGAAAGGAAGGGGTTACTACTGATTAACAGAAAACAACTGGAGGGAGATGGGAAGAGAAAAGGGAGGCTTTCACTTTCATTCTCTATTTTTCCAAAGTATTAGAATTCTCTGATCTTGCACTTACATTATTTTTACATATTTATTTTGCCTACAAGCATTATCTGAGCATTAAGATGAAGAACTTCATTTGCTTCCTCTCTATTTTAAGTTACCAATATTAAAAAAAATATATTGTTTACAAATGTTGTGTTGGCCGCCTTTCCATCACTTAAAAAAAAATCAACTCGTCTGTAATCCCAGCACTTGAGAGGCTGAGACAGATGGATCACCATGAGTTCAAGGCCAACCTAGACTACACAATGAGTTTGAGGCCAGCCTAAACTACATAGTGAGACTCTGTCACAAGGTAAAAAAATCAACTTGTAAGGAGGAAAGTTTTATTCTGGCTCACAGTTTTGACATTTCCAGCCCATGATCAGTTGGCCCTGGTGCCTGAGGTGAGGTAGCACATCATGGTTGGTACAAGCAAAGTAGCCAGACAAACTACTCACCTCATTGCCAGGACTGGAGAGCAAAAGGAAGAAATCAAGGTCCCACAATCCCTTCAAAGGTATCCCTACCCCAACCAGAAGTCCTCCTCCTAGGTTGCCTCTTAAAAGTTTCAGCCACCTCCAAATGGCACCAAGCTGGGGACTAAAACTTTAGCACATGGGCCTTTGGGGACATTCCAAATCCAAACTGAGCAAGAATTATATTAATACTTTAGTACACAAAGAAAGCAAATGCTCAACTTGGCAGGTTAATACAAAAAAGTAGGATTCATTCAAAAAATATTTATTACACAGCTGAGTTTATTAGGTACTACTTATTATATGCTAAAAAATGTGCTGAGACCTAAGGATAAAACAGTAATAAAACAAATACAAAATAACCAAAGATCACCATCAAACATTATACAAGCTAGTTGCTTTATGAGACAATGGATCAGAATCTGAAAGAAGTAATTTTCCCAAGGTTACACAGCAAAATGAAGTGATGAACAAACTAGGAAGGTCTATACCAGTGATGGTAAACCATTTAGAGATCGACTGCCCAAACTACAACCCAAAACTCACTTATTTATTGCAAAGTGCCAACATTGCAAGTACTAAGATTTTAGTTTAGAAAACAAACTGTTACCTGCTTGGCTTCTGAGTACTTGGCTCACATGCTCACAGACAGAGAGAGCTCTGCAGGCCCACTATGACACATGTGCCATAGGTTTGCCACCAATCTGTACCAACATGTCAACTTAACTCACCCTCTATACTGTCCCCTTATCTGTGTACTCTGAAAAGCCAGAATGTTTTCCAATTTTAACAATGGTCAAAATAAGGTCCACAAAATAAAAATGGTTTATCCCAAAGGATGTAATTATTAAGTGTTCTCTAAGACATAATATATACAAAAACATGTTGAATCCAGTAAAATTCAAACAAATATGGAGACTCATGGCAATTATTCTCTGTACTCTTATTTTCAAGATGTTAAAAATTAAAGAAACCTTCATAAACTAGCTGGCCTTGAATATTTTTAAACACAAAATAACTGTACACAACTGTGTTTGGAATTACTGAAGAATTCTCCATATGGAATATTCATATGTATTACCTCCTCTATATTGAACTAAACTTCTGATTAATACTTTTAAAAACTCAATTAGGTACCAATACAAACACTTTTACACATTTATAAAATTTTACAAAGACTATAGGTACACTGGTGTTTCCAGCCCAAAGTAAAAACATTAAGGACTATAATCCCAGTACTCGAGGGGCTGAAGCAGGAAGATTGCCACATAGTGAGATCAAGGGCCAGCCTGAACTACTAACAAGACCTTACCTCAAAAAAAAATTATAATTCTTAATGACTATATAATATTCCTTTCTGCAGATATGCTGTAATTTATTCTCCCAAGGTGAATAACAGAAGTAGTTTCTAATCTTCCCCAGCAAATAATGTCAAATGAATAGCTTTTCCTGTGAATTACTACTTCCTGTGGAATTGCTAGTTTGCCTACTAGATTTACCATATATGGAAGTAAAAACAGTATATATACATTCAGTACTCTTACCATAGCCATAGAGAATTTTTCGACAGATGCCTTGAAATATACATTAGGCATAATCCTTATTAGTAATTTGGCAAGAAACACACAAATGTTTCTTTTTCAATTTATGAAAAATTTCAAACATATACAGAGTAGTAAAATCTTCTGTGTACTAATTACCATTACCCATCTTAAATGATTTTCAGTTAAGAAGTATTCTTATCTCTACCCTGTTCATTTCTCCATCTCCATTTATCTTTGTTAATCTGATACACTGGAAAATACATCTGCTTTTTACTTACTATATTTAAAAACACAATTCCAAAGTTATAACCCCAACAATACTGGAATAGCCCACATTTTCATATTATTCATAAGCAAATTATAAATTTTAGAAAAATTAATTTTTAATGTCTTAATTACAATAAGACCTTCATGGGAAATTCTGTAAGATTCATTTTTATTGTTTTATTAAAAATATAATTCAAAAATATTAATGTTTAGTCTCAAAGGTGACTACACAGGACAAATACAGTGTTGAAAAATAGATCCCAAATCATTATCCCTTAGAAACAAGTTTGGCTGCAAGTGGCTAAGAAATTCTCAGGCCTGGTTTATATTTTGCTTTGGAAGAGCTTCTTTTCTTATTTCTCCTCGTTGTAAACAGCATTTAGACCATATTATTAAGAAGGGTGTGCAAGAAGAAATTAAATGCACAGGCCATTCTTGTGTCCCTCTTTTTGGATGCCGGCCAGTAAGATGGAATGCAGTTACCTGTAATAACCAGGCATCACAATATGGACCCCCGCACTTGGCTGGCAGATAGCTGTGGCACTCTTATCATCCATTTTGCGAACTGCATCTGTGAAAGGTCCTGTAGCATTGATAACACATTTGGCTCTCACATCAAATTCCTGCCCTGTGAAAGAAAGCAGCATCAGTCATACACCCCATTTGTTCCTCTGCTCACCGAGGCTGTGGATTGTTATTAATTCACCTATTAACTTAACCTATGGCAAAGTATATATTGCATACTATACCAAGGGACCTGAGAGCTAGAGTTAGTGAACAGCCCAACCAAAAGGCTCACTCCTGAGTAAATTTACCCAAACAAGTCCGAATTAAAGGAAAAAAGCACGCCACTTTCCCACTCTGTTTCTCAGGGTATTTATGAAGTGGCCAGGACCAAGGAGCCAAACGTGGAGAAAGTGAAGTGAGTAAATAAGCTGCTTTCTTCTTAAAACTCAGGAGCAAACAGCATTGCTGTGAGACAATGTATTTCTCAGGCTGCTTTTGTTCAAAATGTTACAATTTTCCAACTACCTACATGGCCACAGAACCCGGCAAAAATGAAAATCTAACCAGAGTTAAAGGTGATTGACTTTAGTGATGTATAAATGCACTGCCTATGTCACTTAAGTGATACTTTGAAACTTGGCACATTTATTTAATTTTATTAATAATATGTTTTTGTAAAGAAACTGGAATGCATTCATAGCTGTGGGCATTTATTATTATCATTAACATTATTATTATTTAACACAAAGGGGAAAAATTGCCAAGTTCCACAAGGGAAAATTTTCATGTTAAACCAGTCATTGTTGACAATAAAGAATATAATTAATGTGACTCTGAAATCTGGCCTAAATGAAAGAAAAGTGACACAGAAGTTATAATTTAGTCATTATACAAGCGAGGCCAAATGCTAAGCAATAGCACTCTCCCAAAGACGTGGCATACCTGTGAGGACATCTTTGCACCGGGCCCCGCTCACGCGCTCTCTGCCCGTCTCGGGGTCCGTCTTCTTGAGCAAGCTCACCACCTCCATGTAATTGGCTGTGGCAGCCCCATACCTGGCAGCAGTAAGAGCAATGGCAAGGTTCATCCGTGCATCGTTGTGTTGTCCTGCGGCAGGGAAAAGCACCAGGGGACAGACAGGAGTCACCTCGAGCCACAGACTGGTGGTAAAGAAGTGTGTCACAAGAGATATGTCACATCTGTCCCTATCGCCCACAATATACATGATGGCTGGGCAGCTGTACAGGGCGTGATTTGAAAATACATGGTCATCCACAGGCAGGCATTTACCACCACTTCAGCAAGTACATTTTACGTGCCACAAAAACAGAGGAAAATATCCCTTTTCTAAGGAGCTGACATCAATTATCTGAAAGTTAAGGAATAAGTAATTATTCTCTCCATGTGGGAACATATGTATATGTCAGGCTCTTCCTAATACAGAAAAACCATAAGCATGAAAGTGAAGCAATTCAAAACTTCAGAATATTTGACACCCCAACTGGTGTTGATGAACAATTTTTATGAGTATGTGTTCTATCTAATATTCAAAATCAAGAGCTTAATCTTCCATGGAGAATGTCTCTATATTCCATAAAAGGATTTTTCTTGGTTTGAATTTTGATCACAGCTCCTTAAAATGTAACATTTTTTTTAATTGCACATAAAAGGTAAGAAATTAGCATGGCAAAATTTAATTACAGAACAATTCCTACCTGTATTGTTAAAGATTTATTGCTGAAAAATCCTAGTTAAAGAAAACCAAGGGGGAGGAGGGGGGGGGAATGATTAATCACTTTAAAATACTGGCATCACTGGAGACTTTTTCTATTTATTATTGCCAGTGGAGTTAACGCTGACCAGGAAGAATTACTCCACATTCCCGGGGCCAGGTTCCCTGTGCCCTGAATAATTAATTACCCAGGGCTAGAAGTATTGAAGCAGAGTTCAAATTCCACACATTGGGACAGGTTCTATCAAGATAATACTGATAAAGGGATGAATTTGTAATGGATATTGTTGTTGATTTATGTTGCCAGCATACCAAACATTGAGTATAAATGGTTTATGTAAAGTTTCTTCTTTGTGATTCAGTCTGTACAGGGTGAGAAGCACTACACAAGTAATCTGTTCCAGCTAAAAGGGCAGAGTTAAAAAGACAGAATCAATGACTGAAGATCCTGTTGCCCCTCCCACAAACATCTTATTCTAAAACTGCTGAACTAATACAATCTTAGCCAAGAAAGTTTTCCCCCAAATTATAAGCACTAAAAGGGGAGAACATTTATTAAATCTAAGTATGAAAAATTTTTACTATTTTGGGAATATCTTACCCAAAAAGTTATCATGTATTAGCCCAAAATATAGTATCCTGCAGTTTTCTATACAAAAATTAAGAAACTGAAAGGAGAAGAAAACAACAACAACTAAAGTAGTTGAGCAATAAGTGGGAAGAAAGAACAGCAATTCTATCATTTTCAACTCAACATAATCCTAGGATTGCTTTAAACAGCAGTTGTATTCAAAGTTAAACTGAAGTAAACAACTTTTATTAATACAGAGCTCTTATCCAAAACTGGTCTTATGGGGCCAGGGATTTAGCTCAATGGCAAAATGCCTGCCTTACAAGTGCAAGGTCTGGGGTTCAACCCCTGGTACCAAAAAATACATAAATAAAAATAAAAAACCCTGATCTGATGGGGTTATCCTTTAGTCCAGTGATAAGGCACTCACCTAGTGTGCACACACGTACACACACACACACACACACACACACACACATGCACACACACATTTTCAACTGAAATATGCTCCACAAAGTCAGATGCACACAGCCCAAAGAAACAAACAAACAAAAAAAAACTCCACTCCAAATTTTCTCTTCGGCTTAAGGAGATCACACAATCTCATCCCACCCAGTCTTTCTGGTAGATGTTTATATATGACAATAAAACATCCTACCCAGCAGAAGAAAGCATAGTATGGGGAACTTCCCCCATTCAGGTGTGTTGACTCATAGATCGGACAAATCTCTGAAAAGCTATGTGTAAATGAAGTATTTTCAATCCTAAATTAGGTCACTGTTTCAAGAAACCAGGCAGAAATCCCACTTATTGAATGACAAAGTTCTTAGTGAAGTGATATACCCATTACAAACTCTAAATTGAGTTTGAAAATATAAAATTTTAATATATTTAAGAAATCTAAAATCTCAGCAAATTAGTCTGTCATACTTGTATAGCTCATATTAAAGTATCAGTATAGTTTATCAGGTTCATACTAAAAATATTTTCCTAATTATCTTCTAAATCTTACTACAATCTAAGGTAAAGATTAACTTCAGTGCTCTTTGTTTTCCAACATGCCACCCCCAGTGCCTAGCACTACCTGTCTTGAGCAAGGGAATGTTACTGACTGACAGAGGCCCTTCATGACAAGATACTCACTCATTTGTCAAGATTCTTCTCACATTATTCCTACTAAGACTGGAAAATTATTTGCAGCACTCTAAACATTCAAACCATTTTACACCTTCTTGCCTTTATGTACACTTCTGTCTGGGTACCATCCTGGAAGCTCTGAAAAACCACTGTTCACCTTTTATGATCTGGTTGGAGTATCTTCCCATGAAGTAACCCCCTGTCTGCATCCTGTCTCCCTCCAAGGAAAACTGTTCATTCCTCCTCCTGGATCAGTTTTATACCTTGCAGGTAACCTTTTAATAGTCTTCCCCATACCACGTGCACCCATACATCTACTCACAGAAACAAGGGTCAGTCTCTCCTCCCCCACCGGCTCCCTTTCTCCCTCCTTTCCTCCCCCTCTCCCTCCCTCTTGCTCTCTCCCTTCCTCTTTCTCAAATTTCCTTTCCTCCTTCCCCCTCTTCCTTTCCCCATCCCCTCCTCTCCCTTCCCTCCCTTTCTCATTAGTACCAGGCACAGAATAGGTTTCCATTAAGTGTTAAAATGTTAAATTTAGCCAAATTCAATTCAAAATGTTAAATAAACAGGTATCAAACATCTTATCTCTACGGACTGAAAGGCCTTATTTCTCGCTAAAAAACAAAATCAGGTATCAGGAAGTTGGTTGCAAGACATTTGAGGGGCACAGGAAAAATCAGAAACATGTAAAATTTTAGAAAAACATAAAAGCTGAACTTAACCCTAAAGTAGTCTTTACATTTAAGTTGAATAAATAAGAAGGCAAGGTGAAATGGTTGTATCTGACTTCTTCAGGACCTTTTCCACATGTTGCCCCTTGCTCTGCAGAATTCAAAAGTAGTTGTTAGCTTCTAAAAACTAGGGGGCAGGTAATTTTTTCCATTGAGTCCAAGATCTCACACCTCTACCCAACACCCTTCTTCTTTCAGGACATTTTGCCTTAATTCACATACTTCCCTGGATTCAGGATAAACCTACTGCTCTCTCCCCACATTAAACTTGCCCTTTGCTCTGAGACACCTGGACACTTGCAGTGTATACCTCCTGGGTTATAAAGGATATGTTTTCATCATTCTTCACTAAATCTCCCCAACCCTCTTTCCCGGTATTTTAAAAAGTATCTCAATGCTGCCTGTAATTTTCTTTTTGAAGGAAAAAAGTTTTTGACAACACTATGTGTCTCTGGATTGTAATACAATAATTTCAAATCTCCATTCAATTGATTTGCTTTGAAGTTTAGATTTTCAAATCCGTTTCCTTAGAGCCAGGCAACATTGTACTGTGTTTCACTGTTCAGCAAGTAGCTTTACATTGGCACTTACACAAGGACCCAGACGGTGACTGTGAAAATCTGTTTCCTGCTCTGTTCTCGTTTGCACTTGAAATCTTGCATATGTGCACATACTGAGCTCACAGCGCATAGGGAAGGAAGCACATGAGAGGTGGAACTATAACTGTTTTCTCTTGTTTAGAAAAACAAAATATAAAATCTACCCACCAAAAAGAATAAAGTTGGTGGGGTAGAGAATATTTTATCTTAACCCTCAGTGGTCTTGCACACCAAATAGTGAGCAGTGTTTTAAGTGAAATATGGGTGACCATGCACATTTAAAGGTGTCATCATCTAAAAGACAGGCCTTACATTTAAATATTTTGGAGACACAGCAATACTGCTCTCCTCAGAATCAAAGTTTGGCAATTAAGTTAACATGCAAAATAGCTGAAAAAGAAAACAATCATTGAGTGTGTAAAGGATATGAAGAAAGAGTAAATATGAAAAAAGAAAAGAAAAGGAGGGAACACATTAGTTGGCACTTTCCTATTCCTACAGGTCTAAAATTCTGTGCTGCTGTGAAAGTCTACACACTATCTTCCTTTCAGTGCAGCACACCTCTAAACGGACCTTTATTGTGTACAGGTCTGTATGTGCATGGACCTGTCTGATGTCTGTCTACCAGTATAGAAAGTCTAATTGTTAGAAAAATAATTTTTCATTAAAATAACATCTGCATATAATTTTACCACCAATGAAGTCTGCCACTGTTCTGAATATTTCTGTCTCCCTGTGCCCTGACCTGGGGACTGTGCAGTCACTTTGACTACTTCTAGCAAGAAGGGGAAGGAGGGTTGCAAGCAAGAATAACTCCCCAAAGATTTAATCCCATGTCTAACAAAATCCAGAATGTGCTTCATTTCTCAGACTGACAGTGTCACAGTGACCTCTCTGACAGCTTCCCCTGTGCAGTCTGGCAAACTCAGACTCCTTTCAAATTACTATTATATTTAAAATTTCTCTTCTGATGGGTACTATGCAGGAAGACCCATGGCAAAAAAGGTGTGTTCACACACATGAACGTGTAAGGGGACTATTAAATTCAGCTTTGGATATGTGTGATGAGTAAGTTTAAAGGAGAAAACATGAAATGAGAACATAGTCTTCATAGCAATTTATGACAATACACAATATCCAAAAGTAATCTGATCCAAAAGTACTGACTGCAGGAATGGCAGGGGACAGGGAAGTGAATGCAGCCACATGGAGAAAACCTGTACCTGTAAGCAACGAGGCAGAGTGGCTCTGGGCTTCTGTGTCCTACACAAAGACGGGAGCTCAATATCTATGAAATCACACAGGGTATATAATTGGCTATGGAACAGCCGATCTTT